GGTAGGCTATAATGCTTATTTAAATGTTTAGGTAATCCACCATTTAATGTTCGTGGGTTTCCCGTTCTCCAATAAGCCATTACATCTGCCGTTATAATTATTAAGTCATTAATTAAGGGCTATAATCGGATGAGGTTAATAACTAGTTTTTGGTCCAGATGTGTCTGCAGCTCTTTTCTGGAAAAAAGTGGTCAAAGGGAGTTTTCACAGTTTGTTGGTTCTTATGAATGGCCTATAACTAACAACAAAGCATTAGTAGATTATTTATTAAATATTAATAAGGCCAGTCAATGCAACTTAAACGACTTTTGTAAAAGGTGCCTTATTATAGGGACCATTTACCATCATAAGTCAAATAAACTTTCTTGTTTTGGGGTGCTCAGACACTAAGTTTCAACATATTTGTTGTAGTTGTGTATTTGTTTGCCATTAATCTCTAACATTTCAGCATCACTGAAATCACTGGTCCAGAACTAAGCAGCCTAATGACTATTCACCGTCACTCCACTCCACTTGAGTTGGCTGCACCTGCACTAACAGTACACATCAATTATCCAAACATAACATTTTTTATACTTTATTTCACTAGTTGCAGGCGTGCTAATCAAATAATATCAGTTTTTGTTGTTTGTCTGGAGCAAAACCGGCAAAGACATTTTACACCCCATATTGGAGTAATTGATCGGTTTTAGGGAACGCGGTATAAAAACATTATTTACCACCCTGCTGTGGACAACTACACATCAACTTTAAATGGATCTTTGGAGTATTAAAACACTTGATTGACACACACATCATTATAGGACAAGTGTGGGGATAAAGAGCAGAAGGGAGCTGGTTCATCATGTCTCACTGTTGTATCTCCTTACTGACCCTGCTGAACCCTCAGAATTTCTTCCCACGAGGGCTCTGCCAGTTTGGCCTCTGCACTCAGTCAAAATACATGTTTAACAGGAAGTCTGGCCCATCATGCATCTGCTTTCCTTCTTAAATGTCCTGCAGAGATGCTAGGAAGGGTAATTATGGTCCGCAGTGAGATGTTCACAGGTGGACACAAGAAAAGAAAAGCTAAAGATCAAGCTCTTGGGTGGACCTCATAGGGATCCATCTATATTATCTATATTACCAAGGACACTTCTGGAAATACTTGGCTTTCCTCAGATAAAAGGGCTTCACTTTGCTTTCAGTCTTCTTGTGAGACAATTTATCCTCTGTGCTGTATTTGGGATATCGGACATTTCCTCATTAAAGTAAAATAATTTTCTTCATGGGGTTACAGGGACTGTCATGTACCAGCCCAGAGAAATTGTGATATTTAAGTCTAGTGAATGGAATTTGGATCCATCCAGATGTGTAATGCAGACATGGGGCATTTTCCTGCAACTATATGAAATCGTTATTGGTCAACTACGTTATTGGACTACTACTTATGTGCCTAGTATAACATCTTGCCAATGGACTACAGTTGAAAATTAGCCTGCTGGCTAACACTGGCACATTTACAGAAATGTTGATTAATGCACTGTCCTTAAATAAATAAATGAGAAATAAATGAGACATGAAACTGGGCTTCAGGTGTGTCACTGAGAATCGAGATGGAGACATTACGCTCAGTGTCAGTGCTTGCACTGATTTTTTTTATCACCCAGATGTTATGTTATGAATTGTGGCAGTTGTACTTTTAGTGTCCGTCATACTGTTTCTGCTTTACAGTATGTGCTAAAGTGCAATTGAATAAAATAATTCTGAGGTTTCATATCACTCAGGTTCTACTTACCTTGTAATCCATGATTGACAGGGGCAGGGTCATAGATACTTGTGCAATGTAATGTAAATGTATGGTGGATTGTATGATGTATGTGAGTGTAATGTCCATATGTGTTACTGGTGTTTACTGCAGCCTCATGCGGCACTGATGCCCAAGACAAATTTCCCTCAGGGGACAATAAAGTTGATCTTATCTTATCAGTGACTACACAACAATGCAATCAGATCCTGACGACTTTTTCGAATTGGCTGCAGCTACCTTTTCAAATCAACCATCCAAACATAAACTCATCCAGATGTAGGAAGCAAGTGTGAAAGATTACACAATATTACAGCTCATTTTACTCCTTACAAGAAGTTCTGTTTTTGTGTGTTAACACTCAGTTTTAATCATATTCACGATATGACATTCACATGGAACATGAGAAACCATGCTCCAGTTTACATGATCATAACATTACCAAGGTTGCTGATTGCTTATTTCATTGTTGATTATCTTTACATAATTTTTTATAACGAGGATATTAGTGTACATGTAAAAGCTCACTAAGCACCATCTACAAATACCAGCTTTTTTTAAGCATTACTTATATTCCAAGGTATTGTTAGAGGCTGCAGCTTTATGGTGCTCTAAGATGTTTCTGATTTTAAGAACCATAACCTTAACTTTGAGCCATATTTAGGTAGTTTGCACATGTTCAGTGTGTTGCTATGATTAGTTTTTTTTTTAAATTGTTCCCCCACTAACATTTTTTTCTCTCTTTGTGACGCAAGACCAATCCATCCACAAACAGGCACTAATTTATGCTCTGTGAAGCGGTTATTCTTTACAAACTCTTTATTCACATGTATTCAGAGACGTTTAGAAACACAAATTTGGCATTCAACTTAATGGCTTACCTGTATAACTTTTGACAGAAAATCAGAAGCGCATGTTCACCTTGACCTGTTTTGAACTTTTTGAAGTCCATGATGTGAATGAGTGGATTTTCAGGATTACTGCAGATGCTTTTAATGACAAAACCTCATTCTAAATTTCCTGGTCCCGAGCAGTCCCTTGTGACAAACGTTAGTAATCGTGTAACTCAGACTTGATGTCTGTATTCAAATGTCCAATGGAAGAGGGCCTTTATTCTCAGAAGTGTTCTTTCCTTGGCTACATCAACACAGACATAATTCAAATGGAAACAGAGAACTCACAACTCTGCATTAGTCTCAGTTGAAGACAACAGAAGGATTACACAACTCAAACATAATTTTCTTGTTTACTTTTTGACATGATATAATCTTGAGCAGGTGTGACCCTAGTTTTTCTTTTGAGTTTAAGGGAAACCACCATGTGCGCACACACACACACACACACACAGCAGGATTGTACTCCATACACAACACCAAGAGATAGTTTATTTGGACAGATGCTTGTGGAGGTCCTTGAAACTCTGGTTGACATAATGTATACTTTCCTTAGAAACTGTGGAGTGCTTGTGGACCTCTTAACACGTCGCATGAAAGAAGCGGAACAAACTCGAGGAGACTGAATGACATATGGTGTACGATTATAAAAACAAACCAGCAGGCAGATGGTAATTGAACAGGAAATGCACATAAAATCACTCCTACGAGGATAAAGACGTGACAGAAGGCCAGATTAGTCAATTGTAAGCACATGATAGGACAATGCTGTATATAGGACTCTGTATACTGTTATACAGAAATAACTGCCATTTACAGTAGATATAGATGGTAAGTGTCAGTGTGGCAGCCTGAATGGATAAATAAAAAAATAAATATAGACTACTTAAAGCATCTTAGTAAAAGGTCTACTAAAGGGATGAACACCATTCTTCCAAAAGATATTCCCACATTTGGTCTAAAAAGTCGGTCCAAAACCTCGCATAAGTGCTCAGTTGGGAGATCCAGCGACTGGAAAGACGTGTGATTCAAATCGTTTTCATATTTTAACCATTCAGTAACCCTTCGAGCACCTTGTACAAACATCTGCATTTGTTGTGTTTCTCTGGTGATTTATTCAGGTTTTTCCTTTCGTCACTTATCTGTATTTCTGCCAAGGTGAACCTCCCAACCCTTTTTACCCCCTTAATAAAGCAGTTCCTGACCTGTGTGGCTTGCGACCCCTTAAAATGAATCAATGAGATTAAAGTCAAAAAGTAGTAACAATTTTTAGTAAGTTATATCAACATAATCATCTTCACTTCCAAATTTATCTTGGTTCACCATTTTGGACCTACTTAATGGAATTAGATACCAAATCCGCATGCACCAGCCATTAGATGAACCATCTCAAAGCTCAGTTAAGATTAAGTACAGGAAAACACGACTCAACATGGGGCAACACAGTCATAAGTTGGTTATGGGGGTCCTGGGCGTAGAGTCCCTGTGTTTCTCGTTTGCGTGCATGTGGTTTGACTTTGTTGCCCCGAGACAAGAATTAATTTTGGTTTACTCATCTCCACCCTGAACAACTATTTCAATCTGTGGCACTTTGATTACCTTAATGGCACAACATGCTCATATTACAGAAAACTGAACATTCTAAAATATGCTACGCACGTTCATCAAACCACTCAAAGTCTCTAAAAGGGCAGCGGGTAGCAGGCTAACATACATACATCATTACTAAAGCACGGCTGAAGGAGACACTGGTGAGTATAGGTGGTCTGTCAGTGGGTGTCCAAACATGTAATTTGCCCTTCAGGCTGTGGTGTGGGGCTGTAAAGTAACACGCTCTTATACTTGCCTTCTGACATTAACAAGGAAAATACAGCGCTTCATTGTAAGGTTGAGAGCAAAGCCACATTTCGGTCGAGGGCCGAGCTATAATAAGGGAGGAATAAACAGTAAGGAATACTAAAAGGGCAGAAAACCCTTACATGGAAAGTTTTTCAATGATGGGTCTGCTTCCCATTAAAGCAAACCGAGGCAAGCTCAGCCTTGGTCCTGAAGAGAGCACTGTGGACAATGAGGCAGCCAGCTAAACCACAGGAGCAGGAGATATAACATACTACAAAAACTACACATAGTATACAGTAAGTTGCCATACAGGATCAAGAGACCAATTAGCAGAGTGCCGTAGACCAAGACGCTGTGGATCTTTTGTTGTTTTGGTTTATTGTGCACATTGTTCTGTAGGCCAGTCCGACTGCAGATGTTTTCAGTATTTACTGTATTATAAGAAAGCCAAGTAGTCTTCTGACTACACTTCATTAGCAAACTGCTTTTTGCACAATCCTTTATTTGAACAATTAACAAAATAGAATGCTGGAGGCTTAAAATGAAAAGACAGTATAGATTTTTGTTTTTAGGTCATTATCCCAACAATTTCCCAGCAGACAATAGTGTTAGGAGCACATACTGAAAAGAGACATTATTGAAGCATTTCACCAGCACATTTCCTGACCAGCCATGAGAGACTGAGATAAAACTATACAACAGAAAACTCAAGGTGTCCGTTCAAAGTCCCAACTCGCAAACATTCTTCAAAAGGTGAAAGAAATATGCAAATCATCAGATGTCACAATTTGTGCAGAAATGACCACAAAGCCAGCAGCACAACTGAACTGTCATTGAAGTTGTGTATGATGAAGATGTTTTGACTAATCTAAACGGCATGGCTCCGTTTCCTGTGCGGAATGAGTTGACAACTGTGACAAGACATAGATACAAGACCTTGGATGGAGAAGGCAAAACAAAGTTATTTATATATATATTTTTAATTAAAGGAAAGGCAATAGGGCCTATATAATGTTGTCCTTTGGTTTATCTGGGAAAGGTTTCTGACTTTGAAACCTGCAAGACAAAGTCAATTGAGACTGTGCACCACATAATGATGTTACATCACATGGTAGCCAAAAGTAATTCAAATCTAATGTGACATTGTGTAATTATGGTAAAAATCTGACGTACATTATTTTATATTGAAACTAATCAGTCCTCATGAACTTACAGTGAAGTACTGTCAGATACGGTGTTAAATTAAGATAAATACTTGCGCTACCAAAATATAAGAAAATGTTATCACACTGCACCACGTTTTTGATATGAAGCAGGAAAATGTGAGACAACCACCTTCTCTCCTGCGTACCTTGTTTTAACTGACAGACACTGTCTGAAGAAGTGGAGTCTGTATGAGACAAAAAGGAGGATTCTCTGGATAAAAGTACACAAGCCTAAATCGTGTAGAAATACTTCAGTGGATTCAATTTTGTGAAGTGTTAATACTGAGATTCTGTGGTTGGAATGAAATGGGTCTGGAGGGGAAAAAAAAGGAAAAAAAAAGACAAAATGGAAATAAATATCAAGCAAAGAACTAGTTCAATTTTATTCATTGTTGTGCTTTAGCCTGTGTAATTTCTTTTCAAACACCAATTCAAATGCAAGCGTGTTTTTCGGAAGGGAGCGAGAGCATGGGGACATTCAATAAATGATTGATGACGAAAAAACAGAAAACAAAACAACCTAACATCGTTTAGTAACTCAAACACAAATCATCACAATCAATGAATGATCCAAAAATCAATATCTCCGACAAAAGCAAACACTACCTCCTTTTGTGCACATGTCCAGGGGTCTTTATGCAGAGCTTAGCACAGATGTAGTCCCACTCCCCCCTCAACACTTTCCCTCGACTAGGAGGAAATGCTGAGCCACAAAAGAGTAAATACATAGGTGTCAGGTACATTCTCCTAACTCTTCACAGACATTAGACTTGCTGCTGGCGCCTGATTAGGGTTAGACTTGTACACTGAGTGGAAAAACATCACACACTGAACCTAAGGCAGCCCCCACTTTCTGCTGAGTTGGGGGGGTAAGAGGGGTGGTGTGGCTCAAAACTACACTGATAAGCCACCTATACACAGGTGGAACCTTTAGACAAGTAAACACACAAAAAAAAGAATGGATAGAGAAGGAAATGTTCAAAGTAAACAAGGGCAGGTTTTGCAGTGGAATCCATCTTGATTGGTTGCCATCTCTCCAGTGCAAGAACTGAGTCTTAAAACTAGCGCAGTCCTTCAGGACCCAAACAAGTTTTCAATTAGCTACATTTTTTATTTTTTGTTGTTTTTCCTTTCTTTTTTACATTTTAATCTAAATATTTGCAAAATATGCAGTTGCCTGTCATATTGTAATCATCGATCAGTTTATACTTTGTGCACAGAAGCTTATTTGTTATTAAATTCTAAAGCGCGTAACTTTTTTTTTTTTTTTTTTTTTTAAGATAATCTTTCTAAACCTAAACCCAGATACCGTAACAAGGATCTCAAACAAGGAAGCTGTTCAGTTCCCATTCAATGTACCACCTGTCTTTTCTTTCCTGTTTTTGATGGCTCAAGTTGTACCTAGATTTAAAAGCATCATAAAAGTGAGAAAATGGAGGAGGAGGAGTTGTTGGTGGAGAGGAGAAGATGATGATCTGGCCTTGGGAGGAGAGACTCATGACAATGCTGGTGTGCTGGGCCTTTTCAATGCACTAGGGCAAATTCAAATAGGCTTTTAAACGGTTGCAAATTCATTAGGCCAACAGTTCTCCTTTACTAAAAGGCAAACACTGATATTTCTGGGTCATTTCCTTAAAAAGGTAATTCAAACAAGAGAAATTACCCCAGCGGTTCACTTGCAGCCTGTGGTAGATAGTTCTTCCTGTGTGTGAGTCCACTGTTTGCTATCTGAGCCAAGCTGTGGGCTCAGCCAGAGGTGAGTCTCGGGTCCTACCCTGTAACCCCAACCCCCACCTCTGTCTTTTCAAAAGTCCTTCCTTGCTGCTTTAAAAGTAAAACAAAAAACAGGACAAAAATTTCTTAAAAATAAAAACAGCAGTGGTGCAGAGAAGAGATAGCAGTCACAGGTAAATCATTGTGAAAGCAGCTTGTTTCTCTTCTTCCAAACAGAAAAAAGAGACAAGGAAAAAGGTGTTGGAAAAGCTGGTTCTCAGGAAAGCGGGGAGACAGGAGGGAAGAAGAGGAAAATCTTGCAAGAGAACAAGTTGGGCAGTGTTCCTGTTCATTAGTTTGGTGTGTGTTTGTGTCATGTGTAGATGTACTGTACTGTCAACTGTCAAGTGCATTTTGAGCATGTATGTTTTTTTTGTGTGCGTGTTTGTGAATATATTCATGTGTTCTTGCATGTATGCTGGGATGTATATGTGTGTGTCTACAGCAGGTCGACGCGGCGGTAGTACAGCAGGTAGGCGGTGCGCTCTGTAGTCTGCTTCACCACCTGGTACTGGTTGATGACCTTCACTGTTTGGTCGTCAATGCGCAGCCAGCCGTTAAGACCAATGTGGAAGACATCCGTGGTGTAGTGACCGCCTGTTGCACTGTTCCCATGGTGATAGACAACTGGTTATGGAGAAAACAAGATATTAGAAGAAATGTCAGATATTTTATCCAATTCATCTCAACTTACTCTTTTAGGACTTCAATGTTTTTACTGTAGAGAAGTTTAGCCTAAAAGTTTATACTATCACTGTCTGAACTTACCGTTTTAATGTTTCTATAAACCAAATTAAAATAAAAATGCTTTCCTACATTGAGACACGTTTCAAAGGGTAATTCCCTATTTGCACATGAGAACAAGATCTTGTAAGATGCAAGATCTGATCCCACAATTCATTATATGCTGTGGTTCAAAGGGTGTCGCTAATTTGCTGGTAATGCCTTTGCCTTCTCATCCCTAAATTAACTTTTAAAAAGCTCACTGATCTCAATTGTGGGACTGAAATAGCACTCAATCCAAATCAACCACAGATGGTTGTGGCTCAGGGGGTAGTGCGGGTTGCCTGTTAATCGAAAGATCAGCGGTTCAATCCCCGGCTCCTCCAGGCTGCATGTCCTTGGGCAAGATACTGAACCCCGAATTGCCCCTGCTGGCTGTTCCACCAGCATGAATGTGTGGGAATGGTGCATGCAATGTAGTGTAACAGTGCTTTGAGTGGTTGTAAAGACTAGAAAGGCTCTATACAAATACGGAGCATTTACATTTAACTAGTATAAATTTTGGCATCCCCCCCTCCCATTTATTTAGAGATATTCCCCAATGTTAGAAAATACAAAATATAGGCTGATTATTACAAATGGCTTTTACTTCAGCTGGATAAAGTGTTGCTTGGAAAGCTTAGCAAAACTAATACTTTTCCAAAAAGGTTTTAATCGTTATGATCCCAAAGCACAACTGTCAGATGTATTCAGGTTCAACACAAAAAGGGACGGCTATTCTTAAAAGTACTTTTTGGCAGCATCGTTCTTTTGGTATATGAAGGAGCCACATCATGGTGAATTAATAATTCCAACAGTGGCAATATGTTACAAGAAAGCAACAAAAATTACAACTCCTTGGAGCAGATGCAATAATGTGACGAAGTAGATTTAAAAAATAAAAACCAACACAAACGCACCTGCAAAGAGCCTGTAAGTTCTTTGGCCTTTCACAACTTTGCTCCGCACTCCAGAAGACAAGAGATCTGAAAGGAAATCATGGTTAGGAAAATCCACTGATGAGACCAAGAACTTCTAAAGCATTGCTTAAGTTAAATACAGAATGTGTGCACCATGTTCTGCTGCTGGCCTGTTAAGATTTACACTATAGAAAAATAAATGGATTTATGTGAAATGTGATTTCATTCTCATGTGGGGTACTCAATTACACAGCAGAGGATCCTGAAAGTGAATTGCAGACTTTTGCACAGTCTTTAAGCTTTTCACAAGTCACAAAGTGCAAACACAGCAATTTGAATAATGTTAAAAAACTGCATCAGCATTTGTGAAAAAAAAAAGTTAAACTTTTAGATTTGACAAACTTCACTGCAACAATTATGGTGCTTTCAGACCAAAAGCGAAGCAAGTGTTCGGGTGGTGAGTTTACATACAAAGTCAATGCAAAGACACGTAGAGCCGCGATTTCTTGTTGGGCAGCGCGAAGGGTGCGGGGCCGGGATTAAAAATCTGCTGGCCGGCTGAGAGCTGCTAAACTTGGGGGAGACAAATAAACCCCTGTAGTCGGTCGGATTCTGGTCTGACAACTACGCCGTTTACTCGCGGGAGGAGCTCGGAGTAAACCCGATATGATCAGTGCGTAATGTTGTGTCACTTTCATGCGTCACTCCCAAGCTGAGCAGAGTGATCATTCCCACCGTGTCTTTTTGAATATCAAAATGACTAGCCCCTCTCTAGAAAGCCATATTTTTCAGTGCGAATCACTTACAGTAACTTAATTTGGCAAACTCATGGAATTAATTACCTACAGCTAAAACTGAGCTGCCTGTGATAACTTTGTCCCTCATCGACAACAGTGTTATGTGTGCACTGAGAGTCTATGGGTCAAGTTAAAGGCTTGGGGTGCTTAGCAAAGTGTGGTTCCATACCTTTGCTGATTTCCAGATCAACAGGGTAATCAATGTTCTTGGTCAGTTTCTGGCAGCCTCCAGTCTTTTCAAAAACAAATCTCTTGAGATGGAGCACCAGCACAGGGGGCAGCTCTTCCAGAGTCACCCTCCGACTGATCTCAATCTGAAAACGAGGACAAAAGGACAAGAAAGACGTGAATGTACTGGGGGGGGGGGGGGGGGGGGGTGTATTAGAGGCTTGGGATAAAAACCCAATAAACTTCTAAACACAACAGGGAAGGGAAACAAAATGTACAGAACAAGATCACATTCTGTTGGAAATAAAAGCGCTTGCTGAGCACCTCAAAGCAGTGACTCATGAATCATTGTGCATTTAAAAGCACAAGACAGGACCCAGGCTGTACACCAACGTTAACTGCTAAAAGTTATTCTTCATCTATGTTTAAACCATCAGCACACATGCCAAAAAACCTAAACGTTTCTACTCAAGTAAATCAAATCAGAAAACAACGAGCACTATATATCATTTCTTCACTCAACAAAAATATAATTAACTACCATGACAGAAAATATGGTAACTCTGAAAAATATTAGGAAAGTCAAGACCACAAAAATAACAGATTTTCAACCAGCTTTGTATCGTATATGGGTAAAATATGTAGATACACAATGGTTAACTTCCCTCCATGTTGCCTGCACCCAGAGCTCCCTGTTCATTTCATCTAAATTTCTTTTCATTCTTTTTCATCTAAAAGCAACACCGTAAACACTGCAGTGAAACCAGACCGGTGGTTCAGTACCCACAGTGTCAGTATCTGCGTTGCCAGATGTCGTGCAAGTGTGTTGAGTCAGAGTCAGGTCTTGAACAAAGTTAATTTTTTTTCCTGCGTTGTCTGAGAAATGCCAGTTTAGTGTCAGAATGATTGGAAGATGAGAGTCTTCTGAAAAATGGTCCAATATTTACTTCGGCGACTATTGGGCAAAATAATCTGTGCTCACATTTACTTCTCCCATTGGAGTGAACAGACTCCGGACCTGCCGCTAGTCTCCTAAAGAGATGGAATAGTGGCAAAACCGCCATGACACAGAAACAGGAAATGACAATCTCCTTTCCGAACCGTCTCTGCCTGGAGTCTGTTCAGCGCAACTGTAGCAACTATTCGTACCTCCTGCTTGGTTTTAGAAGTGTAGCCCTGGACTGACTCTCGTGCCACCAAGGTTTCTAGAGCCTCCTGGACAGTGCGGATTTTCTCAGACTGGATGTCCAGTTGCAGGGTAAAGAAAGGCTGCAGAGTGGCCGACTCTTTAGAGTTTTGTTGATACACCACCGACCTGGCAAACAAAGAAAACAAAAGGTTAGACTTTAGAAGACAGGGCTCTATGTTAACTTTTTCCCAAGAAGTACTCAAAGACATTTAAGCGCAAGGTGAAAAATGTTTAAGTAACGAAGTTTAACAATTTATTACATACATATTTATACTAGATTGCAATCTGCATGGATTAATAAAATTATGGTTTTTTATATCAGAAAAACATATTGGTCACCCTGCTCTCTAAATATCAGCAACTGAAAACACCCATATCCGTCGACCACTACTGGAATCATCGATTTACTGGACATTTATCAATTGTTCCCAAGCTTATCCTGATTGCATCATCTGTCCTGGAAGCTTTGAAACGAAAAAACATCTAATAATCTGGCTGCTCCTCATGGTTGAATGCTTCAGCTACAAGACTTTAATTGGGAAAAATGATTCAAATTGCAACAGTGATTCATAAACCATTTACTCTGCCTAGCGCCTAAAAAAAAAAAAAAAGAAAGACAGTCCATGGGTTATCGCCAAGCTCAGTAGGCGTATACACCGCACAAGTAAATATAAACTCCTGTATTCCATTTCTCTCTGGTCGCAAGGACTTCTGAGAAAATCCTTTGAGACGTTGTGCTACCAGTGTAGACCAGGACTGTGCCAGACCATAACCTCACAGAACATATTATTTAGGCAGGCTACACCCGCACAGGTTTCCAATTTGTCTGAAAGTTAAGACCTTTGTTTGTGAAAGTGTGCCCCATGTCTTGCGGTCGAGACTTCTGACCACAATCGGCCCACAGTGCCTGTTTTGCAAAAGGACTGTGGTGCCAGTTCAACAAACGCTGGAGATGGCTGACGATTTGTTATGCCACCATGAACAGAGGTCAAACTTTTAGTCCGCACGGGGGCACAGATGAAAATGACAATTATCTCCCAAGGTTGGTGTACAAACTAGGAACAGAGCCATGACCAAGAGGACAAAGGCATGTAATCTTTCAATGAAATACTCAAAAAAAGTCCACAGGTTCACAAGCTATCTGAATGCCTTCCTAAACATAGGGCTAATTATTTCCCCTTCACTTAAAAATGTATTTCTGAAACATCTTCACAACAATCTGTCAACATACCTGATGTGCCCACCAAATATGTCAGTGATGGGTGTGCGGACAAAGTCAGCTTGGCGAGTGATCGAAGTCTTGTTTCTGGGGCCAACTTGCTCCCACTCGTCCTCACTACCTTCTTCCTCCTTATCAGCAACATCTTCCTCCACACCTGGTTGGGACTCTGGCCCATTGGGTGTGGGAGCTTCTGTTAATAAAAAAAAAAACAAACAAGAAAAAAACACCTTAGAGGGGTCAAATTACAAAAATACTTCAAACTGAAATTTGGATTAGTGCAGTGGAGTGCATATTTATTGTACACCACTGTTTAGGTCGTTACATTAAATCTGACAGGTCACACCTGGCCAGTGATGTTTTTATTTCATTATTTATTTAATTAATTCCATAATGGCCTTATCTGCCTTGTGATATGGTTTTGATACGGAAGAGGTAAAAAGTTGCTTACTCTCTTCCTGAGGCGAGATTAGTTTTTTCAATGCCAGCATCTCCTCATGCAATCCATTGAGAGTGAAGCCAAGATACTCCTCCGCATCCTCTTGCCGACCCTACAAGTGAAGCACAAGGACATCCGCACCAATTAAAAATATTCTACCAAGAATGCTTACAGTCAAAGTACTAGTGTGCAAACACACGAAGGTGCATCCACAGTCATTTATTGAGGTAAACAGACAGTGTTTTACAAGTGAGACGGGATGAGCATAAGCCTCATTAAATATCAAAAGATAAACCCATTTAATATCAATCATAAATCTGATTAAGAACTGACTCATCATGTGTAAGACATGAACTGCTTTTATTCAGGTGAGTTCTTAACGGAGTTTTAAAAAAAAAAAAAAAACGAGAACATTCCCTTCAAGCGCTCTATGTTCCAGAAGAAATGTATTCATTGAGACCAATGAAAAACACCTTAAGGCATTGCTTTGCAGTGAATAGGTTATAGATCCAGAGGCAGCACAGCTTACCTTCTCAGAGAGACTTGACTTGATGAGAGTGAGGAGTCTATAAATGTAGGTCGGCTCAAAAGGTGCACCGGGCCGAATGTCTTTCATGGCCTTATCACCAACAGCTGCGGACACAGTTATAAATCATACAATATTGGTGATGCTGACTGGAAAATGACACCACAATGTCTTTGGACGTGCCGTCTAATATCTTACCTTGCTGTTTGGCTTTAGATGGCACAGGCATGTTGTTGAACTCATTCACCAGCCTTACACTGTCAGACAAAAACAACGTTGATGTCTCAGAGCAACACACATTTTAGTCATTTCAAATGAGCTTGCAGAAATGCTACTTACAAGTTGTCTAGCATGGGTGTGGAGGTACATGGTCTCTGCGTTTCATTATGCAGAGGAATGGACTTCATCAGGTGATACATGGGGGGGCATGCAATCAGGGCCTGTAGGGTCTGGAGTGTTCAGAGTCAGGGAGGAACACAACGTGTAGGAAAAGTTATATGATGGGCTGCTTTAATATTTCTAATGTGATACCAATGGATGACTAAGTTCTAATTATATGAAACCGCTGGCATCATTTTGTAGCTCAGAAAATTGAGATGTCTTTTGAATTTCATGTTTGTGTTGGAAGGTTTTTCCCCAAATCAAACTTAAGGGAAAGGTCTCAAATTGTTAATCAGTCTCCATAAAACAAAAACATGTTTAGCATGATCTGTGCTTTTGCCAAAAAGGAACAATTCAACAAAACCTCCAGGCAGAGCTGAAACTCACTCCTCAGCAATCGTCAGCCGAAGACAACTACATTTCACAATGGCAACCTTTTTTTTTTTTTTTTTACACTTGCACAGGCTTGTCGGGGACTTGACACCATTTTATACTTTGTACTAACAGCAAACATGTTTATGTGTAAACAGTCTTAAAGGGGGGGAAGGGTTAAAGTTGCAGGTGCCGCATAAAAGCAGAATGAAAGGATACAGCGTTGATATAGCACCAGTTTCCCTTGTTGATCAGTCCTCTCGGCTGCAAAGACACTGGTTTATGTATCAACTTCACATTCTCAATAAGTTCTGGGGATTCAAACAAACACAATTTTCTTAAATGGGTAGCCCCGTACAACTCCAACAAACAATGAAATCCCCCGTCAGTATGATTTTGTCTGTGCATACTTTCAGTCATTAACATTGTAATATAGTATACAAGTAGTAGCCTACATTTTCATTTTCACAAAACAAATGTTCCTTCTTCTATTCCTGCCTCTTGTGACAACAGCACAAGGGACTGTGTGAATAAGAGCAAGAAATTTCTGTACCACGCCTAGGAAGGGAGACTGCCATTCAAAAACACAGCTCCCATGGTAACGTGGACATTGTTTTACACAACTGATTTAAAAAAAAAAAAAAACAATCATTCATTTTGTCTCACCAATGACATACAAATACAATACGAATACATTATTAGTATGTTCAACCTTAAGCATCTTTCCCCCTGTATTTTGATAACATGGGTTTATCAGTAAATAATTCAAATATTGCTTGATAAAAACATGCCAATCGCTGGCGATTTCTGAGCTCGCTTTACACTGGCACCACCACGGTTTTAAACTGAGCCATTTCTTTTTTGTAAATGTATGTTGCTCTGTTAAGTATTAACCATTTATCATGCCAGTGCTTGACTTCTTGTGCAACAGTGTTATAAAACATATCCTAAGGTAAAGCAGTTTTAGAGCAAATGAAAAAAAGTATTTAAACCAAAAAGTGCCATCGGGTAATATTAACCCACAATGACTTCTCTCGTAGGAGAAAGGTGTGGCATACTGATACCAGACTGTTTTGGAAATCCAGCTTGAGTGCAACATCATGGAGCGCTGTCTCTGCAATGTTGCATTTCAAAGTGAGTTGGTCGCTTTCAAGTTTACATGTAGCTCTGTGACGCTTAACACTGGAGTTGACTAAACACTATCAAATAAAACTGTTAAGGAACTAAAATACACAGTACTTAACACAATGGGGACAAATTCCCATCTGCCTGTAATGTCATTGCCAATTGCAGTCTTTAGTCTCAGTATGTCGCACCATGCTCCCAGAAGAATAATCTTTTGAAAGTCTAGAAGGTCAAGATGACCAGTATATGCAATTCCAGCGGTTCTAGTGTTTTAAAATATGTGGCATTAACTGATGGTTGTCAAGCTAAGGAAACCATGTCCTGCAGCTCAAAAAGGGAACACAATGTTACTTTAAAATTAAACCTTTGCATCTCAAAACGCACTAAATAAATGCTGGGTACCTTAGAAGCCATATGCTGAAAATATGCATTTCTCACTAAACAGGATTCTGTTTAAAGGGGGACTCAAACCAAAGCGTTTGATTAGATAGAAATAAATTTCCATACCCTTCTGCAAGAAAAACTGTACAACAACCCAAACGTATGAACATACTTGCAGCATAATCAGGTTTATCTAAAGTGATAAAATCTAAAATATTGCACACTGCTTTTAAGAGACAGACAGCCCCATTGCTGGAGACAAGACAAGTTGAATGGAAATGGTTCACAATGACTTGGCATGGAAAAAGCATCTTGTATCTGTTTGCAAGTTCTTAAATAAGTCAACCCAAAGTGATTTCAAATCACACTAAACTGTGCTTGTTTGTGTGTTCACGTCAAGTGATCTTTCTCCACATGAAGCCAAACCGCAATGGCTTGGCCTCAAGTTTATTTTCTGCCTGACCTGATCAATGAGATGTTTTAAGAAATCCTTTTCTTCTTTTGGCTGAAATGACTCAGTTTCACTTAGGTTAAGAGACAGAGTATTCACAAGGGATAATGTTTCTTGAAATTAAACTGAATGGCAAAATCTAAAAAGGGAAAGTCTGACTATAAATGCAAAGTCAACTATTACAGGGTGCCGTTTAGATACTACGAAATATGATAAAGACCCAACAACTTAACACAATCATGTAACCACAACCTGAAACATCGCCCAACATACTGTACATCCCTCATTTAATACCACACTTAAAGGGGACAAATGTGTATTTTCTTAAAAAGGATTTCTCTAAAAGATAACAGAATCGTCAACATTTGAGAAAATGAAACCATCCACCTACGCAACAGCTTTGAAGGAGAAGATTCCATTGCTCACACTGTCCCAACCTCCTTTTAATGGTGCTGGGTAATGAAAGTGTGTTAAACAAATGTGACTAATGACTTAATATCTGACAGCTATTCTGGATGTAGTACCACCATCTAGTGTTCATTTCTTGAATTTCTTTAACATGATTGCAACAAGACAAACTTTTTTCTGTGGCAAGGCATTATTGAGCTATATTATTTATATATATAAAAAAATATATGCGCTTGTGAGCAGTAGAATATTAAGTTTGGTCACTTATTTCTACTCTTCAAAAACATCAAATGATTTAAAAGCAAGGAGCAGGAAAAGTAAAACTGTCTCAACATTGCCACCAAGTGGAGGAGGGGTGAATTTAGCAGCAAAACAAAATAAAGCAGTTATGATGGGCTATTATAAACATCTTCACATAATACCTGCAAGTTTAGGGGCCATAGGATCCTCTGATACGTGGACAGGGTCGTCTTTGACCTCCCCAACTTTCTCAGGCTGTTCTGGCGTAGTGAGGGAGGGAGACACAACTTCCACAACATTCTTTACCTCCACAAAGGCCTGAGGACCCCCAGGCAGAGGCTTGGAGTTGTGGAAGAGGCTAGCCCAGGATTTGGGGAGGTTGGCAGTAGGTGCAGCTGGAATCGCAGGCGAACTGGCCTGCTCTGTCACTACTGGCTGGGCAATGGAGTCGGGGGAGACCTGTTGAACCTGCTCCCCGCTCTCAGAGTCATCTTTGTGTCCATCTGCACTAATGGGAGTATCAGGCTCTGTTAGCCCATTGGCCACCCCACTGTCTGCTAGCTCCCTTCCCTCCAGTTCAGTAGTCGTAATGGAAGTGGCAACAGTGGGGGTGGCCGCAGTTGCTGAAGGAGGAAGAGGTGATTTGGAGCAGGGACTATGTGGAGTATCTGAAAGTTCGGGGCTTTGTGGAGCCAAAAGATCTGGCTGCTGATCTGCAGTCCTTGGCCCCTCTGTCATCCCTCTGCTTTGAGAGGAGGATGAAGAGTAGGAAGTTGCATTGTTGCCATCTGATAAAGAGGCAGTTCCACTAGTTAAGTCCAAAGAAGAGTCATCAGGGCTATCACAAGTCCTCTGACTGGCAGTGGATGTCGGACCAAACTTGGCCGCTGCCACAGCAGCCTCAGATGTTGCCATGGAGACTGGTCCAGGAGTAGAAAGTTCACCCCCTGACAATGCCTTACCATCCACATCTTCAGCACTGTGGTGTGGGCCACCGAGTGCATGCCCATTCACCAGTGCTGTCCCAGGTGTCCCATCTGCTGCACTGCTGCTGTGGTTGCTGCCCGTTGACGGTTCCAGGTAGTTGTAATACCCTGGCGGTCGCTTTTTCTTTTTCTTCCTCTCTCGCTGTCCCAGGCTGCCAGGGAGTCCATCTATGTCCTGACAGGCCTGGTGATTGTCCAGTCCCGAGGCCTCCGAGTCAGGGCCATCCAGCGAGTTGAAGTGGGTTCCATCAGGGACATCGGCTGCTGGAGAAGAAGTCTGTTGGGCCTTCTGGGATGACTGGCAGCCCAGGATGAACTCTGGAGCCTGGGGGTTGAGGGTGCTGGACACCTTGAATAAAGGATCGTTCACCCCAACCGGCTTGGAATCCATCACCTCATCAACGCCAAACTCAATGCGCTGATAGTCTTCTGCTGCAGATAACATTTCAATCAATTAGAAATACAACATTTTGTCTTCAAATACAGCCTAAATATAAATAAACAGATTTTACGCTCTGCTGCAGTGTTTGGTATAAAATCCTTGTTTCTGTACGCCATCAACCAAAAGGGGTCGTGGGAGCTCTCTAACTGGATCAGACATACCAATAAAAGGAAAAAAATTCCGGCTGGGCATATTTTTGGCTCCAAAAACTTTATACAGTTTGTGTCTATGATCAACTAAACCACATTCCTTCTGGCTTATGTGATCCCAGGAATGTTGTTAAATATCCGTAAGTGGGTTGATTTAACAATTCCAATTAGGCAGACGAGACAATAGTCTTGGGCTAATTTCATTTCCTAATAGGTAGCAGCCACCATCAACGGCCAGACTTGGAAGTTTGTGGCAGAACTGCATGTGGTTCTGGATACATTTTTGACCTCACCTGTTTTTATTAACATTTTTTCTGTCAATATTCATCAAGGTTCTGATGCAAAAATAAACTCTGACATATGGACAATCCAATAAATTTATTTATAATGTCACATTGTTATAATCTAAAAGGAATGAGGATGTCAGAATGATGTGCTTAATAGTGTCCTACAGGTTAAATGTATAGAAATATTCAAATGATGATACAAATTTATAAATAGGATAAACCTCTTGAGATGAACCATCTCGTTTTCGAGGGGGGCCTAACAAACAAAAAGTCTGCATTATTTGCGCAAACTCAGTTATATAATTTTAGCATTCATAATAAATAGTTTTGTCCAAAAATGAAGTTGGAATGTAAATAATGCATTTCAAATCTCTTATGTATTTTAGAGATAGGCCAAAAGGAAATGATCTGAATACTTTCAATAAGTGGACTTCACATCAATAAGTACCATTTATCAAAAATAGGGAACTTTTTCTCTTTGCATTTTAAAGTGTCACTAACTCCTTCCAGTTGTAGAAAAACAACGTACACAAACAAATGTATGTCATCATTTACCACACACACAAACTTCATTGTTTAGTTAAATGTGTTGCATGGCAGCTTGAATAGTCAAGTATTATGCAGTCAGAGGTGCAAGTGAAAAGGTGAACAAACAGGAAACATTAGTAAGTGCAATCAGAAAAATCATCCAAGAGACTTTCATCATGAACAACTGACAGGACACCTAAACTGAAAACCCCGATGTTCTGCAGGGGTTAAGTATAAAAACAGTTATTCTAGTAGGATTAGAAGATCTTCTGTTAGTGTTACTGAAATCACACTTCATGATTGTAAAATGCATTCAGCAGTAAAACCATAATAATGTACAGCTAATATGTACCTACGTTAGCAACCACATCAAACCATCACTATGCCCTTAGTAAATAAGCTGTGATTGTTAATCATCATTCAAAATTTCTGTCCAATTTTAATTAATCTTGGAGCCCTGCAGTGGTGAAAATGCATTAAATGCAAGACAAGATAAGATACTTGACAGTATCTTGGAGCATGCAAAGCTCTACAGGTTTTACCAACAGGCAAGAGAAAGAATACAGGCGCAAGGTTTAGAAAGCCACCAGTTTTTGAAACCTGGATTTTGAGTTTTACAGCAAACGTACAACAGCTAGTCAAGCCACAGGGTTGTCAGACTCCTCAACTCACCGCAAACCTGCAGTCCCATAGACTCCATAATTAAGGTACAGCAGGAGTGCAGTAACTTCCTAAATAATCAATACAAATCAAGGTAAGGCAATTGTCATGTGCAAACGGGTACCATTTCAGACAGGTGGCTGCTATTACATTTTTAATTTGGTGGCTCGAAATTTAAGGTATCAAA